CACACACACACACACACACACACACACACACACACACACACACACACTAAATAAAATAAAACTTTAAAAAATTGACGAGATTTCCCATGTATCAGCTCTATTTCAACATACACAGAGACCACCGCTAACACACCAAGTGTTGTTCTTATGGAAGAGCTACAACCACGGGTCTTTGTGGCTTTTTTTTTAAGGCTGAGAATTGAAATGGAGCCTTGAATGTGCTAGACAAGCCTTCTACTGCTGAGCCTGGCCCCTCCTCTCAGTGTCTTCAAAGGACATGGGGAGCTATGCACAAGAGGGCCTCCCATTCTCATTTCAGGAAAACGGGCTCCGAGGATCTGCTTGCTGATGGACAACATCTCACTCCACACAGAGCCTGTGTGCCTGAGGTGATGTGGCAGGTGGCCGATCTGCACCCTAGCCAGGAGAGGCTTCTGCCAAGACCATTTCCAGGGCCTTCACAGAATGAGGGGACGCTTTGGCAGAGGAAATGCTAATTCTTGTTCTGGCTCCTGAGTGGAGGACCTCTCCAGCTGGGGGGATGGGGGAGCCTCTGTCCCTGGGCGGATAGAGCAAAACGTTCATTCAGAAGATGGGAAGAACCAGAGCCTGTCGTCACAGGGTTCCCTATTTCCTCCTGGGATATCAGCCTCCCAGCTTCTGCCGAGCTCCTCCCCATTGTTTTGCTTTTCAGTACAGGGAACTACAGGGAGCCAGGTCTATGTTGTCTATGCAGGTGAGCCTCTGAGCCTCATGCACATGTGAAAGATGTCGTTTGTGGAAGAAGATTCAAGCCTTCTTCACCAGCATGCCCTTTATTCCACCCACTTGGCCTCACCAATGCACATATTAGGAACAATTGGCAGGACAGTGGTGGCACACACCTTTAATCCCAGCACTTGGGAGGCAGAGGCAGGTGGATCTCTGTGAGTTCCAGGACAGCCAAGGCTACACAGAGAAACACTGTCTCAAAAAAACAAACAAACAAACAAACAAACAAACAAAAACTGTTCAGCAGCAGGTGTGGTGGTATCCACTTGAAACCTCAGCACTTGGGACAGAGAGACAAGAGGAGCAAGAGTTTGAGGCCAGACTAGGCTAAGGGTGTAGCTCAGCACCGGAGTGTCTAACCCAGAATGCAAAAGGCCCTGGGGTTGACCTGTAACAGCAACAGCAAGAAAAAAAAAAAAAAAAAAAAAAAAGAGTCTAGCATCTGTAGCCCTTAGGAAGAGCACAGAGCCTAGGAATTTTCCACTAGCCTGGGAAATAAAGAAGGATACGGGGGAAAAAAGAAAGAAAGAGAAATGAAGGAAGAGAAGAGTGATGGTGAGGAGAAAGGATGGGAACAGAAGGGAGGAAAAGTGAAAGAAGGAAGGAAGAGAGGAAGCAAAGAGGGAAGGAAAAGGAGAAAGAAAGAGAGGAAGGGAGGGAGGAAGGGATGAAGAAAGAGAGGGAGGAAGGAGGGAAGGAGGGAAATAAATAAGGCAATTCATCCAGTACTATCGTGGTTAAGCAGAGTCATGCTTTTCTTCCCTCTGCAGGAGGGTGTTACCCCAATCATCTTTTCTTCAGAGGCCCTTCTATTTAAAATCCATCTGATGGCCTTGACAGGTGAAAGTGCAGACTTTTCTTTATGCATGTGTGATAAAGGAGATCTTACACTGAGCAAAAGGTCTCTATAGACTATAGCCTCATAGGCTCATGTGAGTTTCCACCAGCAGTCATGTGACATGTTGCTACTCCCAGATGATTTAGAAATATTTTCCCCACCCTTCAAGCCTTTTTAAAAAAGTGTCTCCTGCCAGAATGCTACTTTTGGTGAAACACACCAGCAGGAAATGCCTTGTGGAAAGATCCTTTAATGCTTACAGGTTGAAGTAATTGATTAAAAAAAAAAAAAAAACCCAAAACAAAAAACTTCCCTTTAGCTGTGTAATGAAGACAGCTGAGGTCATTCTCAGAGATGGAGAAACATCCATCAAAGCGGTGACTCTTTGCAGAGGACCATCTGTAATTGATCCCACGCGAGGCTGTGTCTGAGCTGCACATACCAACCGGCTGCTGTGGTTGCCCCGACCCTACCTGGAGGTGGGCCCATGTGTCTTACAGCCAAGCCACAGAGCTTCCTCAGCCTTCATTTCTCTCTAATTGAATTACTTAGAGAAGGGAGAGAGGACCCACCTTATCGCCTTCTTCCACCTCACATATTTTCTCTAGAGTTGAAGGGTTATATGTGGCAAACTTTTTTCCACTCTTGGATTCATGCCAGTCGTTGTTGATAAATATCTAACAGGGAAAGGAAGTGTAACAAATTAGGTTTAAATCAAAATCATACAATTCCAACATGTTAAGGATCTTAGGTAATGTCTTGCCTCCTTCTTCCCCTGGAATGTTTCCTAGATGAGAACTGGAGTGGGAAGCAGAACACAGGGTCACATGAAGCAACCGATCAGGAGCAGAATTAATCTAAACGTCCTTTAGAGTTCTTTTTCTAAGTTATATCTTTTGTTTGTAGCAATATCGTGGGTTTCAAGGAACCTCTCACTTAAATGGTTACAAAGAGTATGCACGTTGAAGTTTGCACACTTGCAGGCTTTCAGGAAAGGCTGGGAGGGTTTGTGTATAAATCAGCATACAGTCTGCTGGGTCCCAAAAAGCTGTAAGCTATGCACACTCCTGTCCAAGAGAGACCCCCAGGACCTGGGTTTATTCAAGATCTTCCCATAAATCCTTAGGCTTCCTTAAGCCACATGGTGGCATCATCTCTGCATGCCCTTTACAGTGTTTACTTCCTGAAGCCTTTTACAAAGCCAGTCTTGGAACACAAAGCTAAGTATCTGGGTTAAAAACTTTTTAGATCACTTTGCATGGCATAGTAAATGATCATTTATATCCAGAAATAAGTAACTCACACAAAGATTGTTCTACAGAACCTAGCAGAAAATACAATATTTCAAAAAGAATTCATCAAATCGGTGCACTGAGACCCATTATACTTATTCCAACTGTGCTCTAGTTTCTAATGACTGTTAAAAGATGGCATTCGAACACATGGCTTTGGGGGGCTGGGAAGATGGCTCCATAGTAATAAGCCCTGGGTGCTCTTCCAGAGGGCCTGGGTTCAATTCACAGCACCCACGTGGCAGCTCACAATTGTCTATAACTATAACAGTTCTAGGGTCTCCAACACCTTCAAACAGACATACATACAGGCAAAACATCAATGCACATAATTTCTTTTTAAATGTGGCTTTTAGAAAGAACCAGAAACGGAGGGGACAGCTAATACACAAAGTGGGTTCTAATGGCCTAGAAGGCCTATCAGCCACCAGGGCAGCCACTGTTGTGCTGTGTAGTTTCCAGAGCTTCGTTCTTGCAGCCGCTGTATGCCTGGATTCTATAGCCTAAAACATACCACATGACTTTATGCAAGTTAGTAAAATGATAATAATAATTGTGTCACTGCAGGGCTAGCGACTGGAGTCAACTCATTTGGACAACGAGGATTCCCTGACAATAATAGATGAGAGAGCGTGTGGCTGGGTTAGCATTGCTTCAGGCTCGCCTGTGTATGCTTTGAAGCTTGTTTTTTTCATAAGGAAAGCAACCCAGGCTACCTCTGGAGTGAATCTCGAACGGAGGGCAGGCTTTGGCTAGGCAGGTGAGCAGCGGCTACCCCAGACCCTCTATATGGCGTTTAGAGCTGAGCATGAAGTTGCAGGAGGATGTACCCACCCAACTTCTGGAAGCTCAGCACCTTCCATGTGAGGTCAGGCCCCCAGGGAAGCATGCAAGGAAGAGGCCTGGCTACAATTACAGGTTTATTCTTCCAGCTGAAACCAAATCCAAGTGTTCACTTATGCTGTGCGGCAAGTAATTACCCGGCAACAGTGAGAAATTAATAAGCAGGGAAGGAGTTAAGTCGGTGCAGAGAGGGGAGCGAAGCCGGGAGCAGGCCCATTTGAAGGAAGATGAAATTTCGTCGGTTAGATAATAGAGACTGTCAGTGAAAATTGCTGATTCTAGGTTCTTCCTGGTATCAATTCCAAGGGGGAGGGAAAATGAGAAGGTGGTAAAACAGAGCCTAAATAGCAGGGAATGGAGGCAAATGCAGTGATCGGATGTCCTGCTGCTTATACCTCAGCTTTAGGCACAGTCTTCAAAAACTCTCTCTCTCTCTCTATATATATATATATGTATGTACGCTTGGTTGTTCATGATCCCTAGACCTTGCAAACCAGCAGCCTCAAATAAAAACTTCCGACTGGTTGACCGTATTTCTCCATCATAGCATTTCTCGCTGAGCAAAGCTGTTTTCATTCTCCCACCAGTCAGTGGTTCCCACTGCTGGTTTTCTTTCCACTAAAGCAACTCATAAACGCGACTGAGGAAACAGACACGGCACGGCCCACCACTGATGCTGTCTGAATTGCTTCGAATCGTAACGCACTAGCTGACGGGCCTAGAAAGAAAAACGTCTTCACCGACTTGTGAACCAGCCGGGACGGGACATTTGTGAGATAATAAGGTTAAAGATTCTGTGAGCTGTGGACAGAGTTCACATTTTACCGAAGGACCCAGAAGGTGTGCTGGGTGGAGGTGAAGGCCATGGGACATGCGAGAAAACGCTGCTGGCATTATTTCCGTCAGACTCAGCTGAATTCAAAGCGACTGCGTTTTCAGGAGAGTTGGGGGAATTTTATTCTTCATAAAACAGTGGTTACATTTTGCATTTTGATGAATTAAAAACAAACAAACAAAAAAAAACCTTAAAAGAGAACCTCAGCCACTGGAAGAGATCTCATAAAGAAAGTGGGTCCCTAAAATGAAGGGGCTGCTACCATCCTCTAAGATCAGTATGGGGGCTCCCAGAGGACCCTCCATCTCCTCACCAGAATCTCTCCTACCGCAAAAACCTGAGGACAAATGAAGGAGCTTTGATAAAGTCATCCTTCTGGAAGTTGGTAAATCGCCCGCCATGGCCTGGGCTCAAAGCAGTCCTCCATGTTGGACAAGCATGGTGAGTCAGGAATACCGAAAGCCCTCGCTGGCTCACATGTTTCACAGCCAGCTGTCTGTCCTGGGCCTGGATTCTGTTCCGAATCCTTGGCGCCCTTCCTTAGCCCAGGACACCCTTATGGTACAAGGCTCACCTCTGCCTTTTCATTGTTGTGGGAGGTCTCTGCAGAGGTGTACAAGGAGCAAAGAGCGAGCAGGCAAAACCAGTAAGGGGGTGGAAGGCGTAGCCAGGCATGAGGCCTTTGGAAAAATTATCCCCTGGAGCATGCCAAGGATCCCAGCTCTCAGTCCCCTCCATCTCACCACGATTGCTCAGTCTCCATCAGACACATCCCCACCTTCAAACCACAAAGCGGGTATGTGTGGGGGTCCATCAGGACAGCAATCCCTCCTCTGACAACCTCTCAGGATCTCTCCATAAAGGCTGCATCGGCGCCTTCCAAGTGTTTCTCCGGGAATCGCCTAGAAAGAGGCAAACCTTTCCTGCCGTGGGAGGGAGGACGCAATAAGATACTAAGCCGAGAGGCAATCCTGTTCACCCTGGCCACAGTTCTGTGTAAGAACAAAACGGAACCGCCACCGCCAGAACAAGAGCTGAGCACCCCAGCGTGGGTCTGAAAAACGAAGCCTTTATTCGTTCACACGGTTCCCAGCCCTGAAGTGGGAACTCTCCCTCTGAAGCCGATACGATTAAGAAAAACTACATTCGAAAAACTTTCAGTCCTCTCTCGATTACAGAGCCTTGCTGGGGGGGGGGGGGGGGGGAAGAGTTCATGTAAATGTCATGCAGTTTATATGTCGGCACGGCCAGGCTTGGGGAGTAAGTGCCAACAGATCAGAATTGGAAGGCCCCACATAGCGACCTGCCGCTTTCCCCTTTCGATCAAAATCATTTGAGAAGGATAATTGCTACTTTTGAAAACAAACTGGATGAGAGCGGTTTCTAAGCGTGGTGTCGGCTGGAGTTGGGAGCTATGAATAAGAGGTGAAAATAAGAGGGGTCGAAGTTTCCGGACCTAAGCTAAGAGTTGCCGGGCCCTGAGGTCGCTCGGAGCCTGCGCATCCAGCAGGCAGAGAGCTGCGCATCCCGGAGTTGAGTTGTTCTTCCTCCTGAGCCCGCACTGTTCCCAGACATCACCATTGTCCCCGCAGCTCAGGGCAGGTGAGCTCACCCACTCCGCCTGTCCCAGCCTCCCAGGAAAGGGCAAGCGCCACTAGGCCTGGGCACTGTGTGTGGCCTTGCCCAAGCGGCAGCTCAGCTCCCTTAGACTCTGATCTAGAGCCCTTGAGGAGGGCTGATCAGCGACCTCCGTCTTTCCTTCTCAGCCCTACTGCTGGGTTCAGGTACCGGACCCTGCTCTCGTTGCCCAGGAAGACCTACTTTGCAGTTGCAGTCCCGGATGTGGCTCTTACTCGAAACTCATCTTGGAGTCGTCAGGTACCTCCAACCCTCCTCCGACAACCCGGGTCCTTCGGCCCAGAAACCCCTCTGCCAAGAAGTCACCGCGAGCCCCCCCCCCCCCCCCCCCCCCCCCCGCCACAGCTGCGAGCACCAGCCCCGAAAGTGGGCGGTGGCCCGAGCGCGCCCAGGCCTCCTCCGCGGGCTGCAACTCCGCAGCTTGGCTGCACTGCCCGGCTCCTCCGACTCTGAGCCAGAGGCGCTGGATCGATTCCACTCTGGGTGTCCCCTAGGAAGGGCTGTTTCCGAGGAGCCCACACCACCAGAGACGCTCAGGTGTGGGCAGCTCCCGGAGGAGTTGGCACCGGCTGACTCTCCCTACCAGGCTGCTCGGCGCCCAGCCCGAAGCCGTCGGGTCTAAGGGGCGCCCTCCTCACCTTGGTGAACTTCACCTCCAAGTTGCGGATGGGGCGCGGCAGGGCGGGAGGTTTCCCATCTGCCTGTCCGTTCTCCACAGCCCCGTTGGTGGTGGCCATGGCTGATTCGCAGTCCCCGGCGGCCCGTGTCCGTGTCCCCGACGCACCGGCTCTGCCTGGGCGGTGCGCAGCCTGCTCCGGGTGACAGCTCCGCGCCTTTATGCGGCGCCCCACGCCTCCCGCCCGAGGGGGCCGCCTAATTGGCTGCAGGACGGAGGAAGGGAGGGCGGGCGCAGGAGGGGAGGAGGGGACCCAGCAGCCGCAGCCACCCCTCCCGCTGTCCCTGCTCCAGCCGGAGCCGGACGGTCCCGGTCCGACCTCGGCTGCGGCTGGAGTGAGCTCTGTGCATCTCCCGGAGGCCACCCCGTGGGCTTCTGCAGCCCTGAAGGCTGTCCACACGCGGGCTGAGAGAAGGACGCCAGGGCCCAGAACTCCCAGGGCGGGGGTCAGGGTAGAGACCGGCCCCCGCAGCAATCGCAAAAAAAAAAAACAACAAAAAAAAAACAGGCTCCTCTTTGGGCGATCAGGAGACTTTACCGGAGGCACCTGTGGCCTCCCGGGCCGCTCGCTAGCTCAACTTCGGCGGGAGTAGACATTTGCTCTGGGCCCCTGCTGCTCCCCGAATATGGATGTCTGGAGGCCACCGCCGATGGCCTCTGCCTCGACGCTGCCAGACCGGGAGCCATCCTTCTCAAGCTAGGGCCGCCAGCGGTGGGAGCCCGGTTGACAGGGAACTCCCTTCACACCCACAACAGGACGCAAGAGCTAGGCGACAGCTCTTACACCGGGCACATTGGAGCCTTGTAGCTGCTGGCCCTGTGACTTTCGTAAGCACACACCGCTCAGCCCAGCGGAGGCAATTTTACTTTAATTTTTGAAACGCATAAATTAAACCTCCGTTTAAAAAAAATGAAAAATTAAAAAAACCTCCCAAAACAAAAGATAGGAGATCTTTGCAGCTAGTTGCTTTCAGACTCAGAGCTCTTAAGGTTTACATTGCTCAGAACTGCCCGAGAAGGGGTTGGGGTAAAGGCATGTCCAGCTCTTCTTATTTTGCCATTTAGGAAAGGCTCCATCCATCCCAAGAAACAGGCTTAAGACGCATCTGAAACACAGGAAAGCTTCTCACCCAGGGGCAGGGTAGCTGTATCAATGCATGGGGCTTGAACTGCCCCACAGAAGAGGCCTCTTAACCTTCAGAGGGAGGCTCAGCCATCTCTATCTGTGAGAAATCCCTGGAGTCAGTAAGTGGCTCCCTCTGTCTGTTCTGTGACCCGGTGTCCATTTCTGTTCTCCACGACCTTCCTTACTGTGTTGTCACTAGGGATCCTTCTGGATAGTGGAATAAGCTGTGAACCTTCGGAGAGGCCCCGTTGGAGCTCTGCCCTCTCTGATGGTGGGGAGGGGCTTGTGCTGTTATGGGTTGAACATGCAGGTGAGATTGGGGATGGGGGGTACTGTGGGCCCCAAAAGAAAAAGGACAGACATACATCTGAGAATCTATCTTTGACACTGGGATCACCAACCTTCTCCCCTCATCTTCCCTGCCACTTTCTGGGTTCCCTGCTTGTGGGGCTGGTCCCATGACTCCCACTTTGGTCTATCAGAAATATCTGAGATGTCTCCTCCCAGGGCCCCTGGTTGCTGAGTCCCACCATCTGAGTGCTGTTTTGTTTTGTTTTGAGACAGGCTTTCTCTGTGTAGCCTTGGATATCCTAGACCAGGCTGGCCTTGAACTCATAGAGATCCACCTGCCTGCCTCTGCCTCCTGGAGTGCTAGGATTAAAGGTGTGTGCCACCTCATCTGAGTGCTTTCGAAATACTGAAAGGCAGTAGGGGCCAGGGGCCCCTGCGCAGGGGCCAGAGACCAAAGGCTGGCAGTTGTTACAAGCCTAAGGGAACTTCCATCCTGCATGTTTACCTGGGATCTGACCTGGATTATTAGTTTGACAGGTCTTTAAGGAAATACAAACCCCGAAAATATACAGAGGACATTTACATAATGTGCTTTTACACAATTGTTGGACTGATGGGAGAGGCAAATGAGATTGGGAATTGGAGCTCTGTTCCTTTTGCGCAAGAGCCAGTTTGCTTTAAGGTGGACGGCCGTCCCTCTGCCGGCCAGAGTGGAGAACGAGATTCCCTCAGCTCATACCCCAAGACTCCCTCCTGACGCTCTGCATCTGCAGAACCTTGGAGCCAGTGGCAATGCCGCAGACAGACCGGCTCATCCTCAGCTCCTCTCGCTGATTACCACGTGATCCTGAGGTCACAGCAGAACACTCAGCCGTGGAGCTTCCCTGTGGTAGGCAGCTCCCAAAGAGCAAGTCAAGGGCTTGTCCCGACTGGAAGGCTCTTCCTCCACTCCCCTCAGCCTGTCATTCAGCAGGCAGGGAGAAGCCGAGATGCTCCTAGTTCCCATTTTACTGGGGAGCAAAGAGAGGCAGGTGGATACTTGTCCTAGACCTCACTGTCTTGGAGGAACCAGAGGCAGACTGTGGGAGCGGGTGGTGCAGGATGTGAGGAGAGATTACTCTTAAATTTCTCAGTCGCATTCATTTACGGGAGGATGGACCTGTGTCCCGAGGTGGCCCCAAGTTACCTGATGCAGTTAAGGGACTAAGTGCTTTATGAGGTGATAAAATAGTGAGATTGTCCCTTCTGGCTGTCTTTACTAGGAATCAACACTCACGGCCTTGGCCACAGGGACATGGCCCTAGGGATGAAAGGAGGGGGGACTCATTACTTTGCACAGTGGGTCACCAGGTGTTTGGGGGGTGGTGGTGTTCCTGAGCATTGTGATTGGTGAAGGCTCAGCCCCCCCCCCCCCATCCCTGCCTCACACTCATCTGTGTGTTCCTGGGTTGGAGCTCTGAACTTTCATTTCCTTTCCTGTCACCCTCTTCCCACTTCCCCGTGCTTGGGGAGGCTCAAGCAAGATAACTCCGAATAAACAGTGAAGTGCTGTATACGTGTCTCTTCTTAATTCTCCCACTTTTCCTCCTAGCAGGCGTTTCTCCTCAGAAGCGAGCAGGCTACCCTTACTTCTTCCTGGCTTGTGTAGCTTTCCTAGCCTACAATTTTCTTTTAATTCCATTGTTTTTGTATTCAGACTGGTGCTTCTGGCACTGTCTGAAGCTTGGCTTCTTGGTGGGTGCCTCATGTGATCTGGGACTATGTTGAGGCCTTGTTTGTGTGATAAATGTTTAACAAAAATACTCGTCATGGGGGCAGTGTGGAGAGAAGGTTTGGTTCCCAGCAACCTCGTGACAGCCCACAACTGTCTGTAACTCCAGTTCCGGGGGATCTGACGCCCTCATCTGGTTTCTGTGGGCATTACACATATGTGGTACACATATATACATGCAGGAAAAGTACTCATACACAAGTAAATGTAAATAAATAAAGAGACTTTTACAGAGCATGGGGCAGGAGGGCTGGCTCAGTCACTAAAATGCTTTCTGCACAAGCACCGAGACCGTGAGTTGGCACCTCAGCACCCGTGGGAAAAAAGCTCTTCATGTCAGCATGTGCCTGGAATTCCTGAACTAGATAGACAGGTGGCAACAGGCAGATCCCTGAAGCTCACTGGCCAGCCAGTCTCCCCGAGGTGATGAGTGTTGAGGAGGACATTTGATGTCAATTTCTGGCCCCCACACAATACAAGGAAAGGAAAAACTGCGATAAAAGAGAGGTTAGATAACGTCCCTCACATCCCACGCTGGTTTTAAACTGTGCAGGTTTGTGGGAGATGTTGAAACCTGTTATAAATATAATGAAGAGTTGGTGGGGCAGAACCCTCACTTCATTTTACTTTATTTCAAACCTGGTCTCTGAGCGTCGGTGAGGGGTGGCTGGGCCTTCTGGGGGTCTCTAGCATCCCAGAGCTCATCATCCCATCTCTTTACCCGAACCACTCACCTCATTCAGCGAATAGGTGTCTGACCCAATCCAGGCACACGGGTGTGCGTTCTGAAAGCTTCCTAGAAAGCCAGGCATTTTTGACAAAGTGAAGGCGGTGCCATCCTTAGGCATTCTTTATAAACTCTGAGTCATCAGTGGGCAAGTGGGGCTTACATTTTAATTTTGGGAATCACAGAACAAACGGAATGAATCTGTCTTCCTACGTTCTCCTTTTTCCTATGTTCTGCTTTTGCTGTGATACAAAAGCAACTCAGGTGAGTGAGGCGGCTTGCACTTCCAGGCCATAATCAGTCACTGGAAGAAGTCAGGCAGGAACTCAAGGAAGGAACCCGGAGGAGTGCTGTTTATTGACTCACTCAGTAGCTCAGCTAGCTACTTTTCATAGACAGCCCACATCCACCTGGCTAGGGATGGTGCTGCCCACAGTGGGCCAAACGCTCCTACGCCACTGAAGATAGTCTTTTGTAGAATGATTTTAGGCCAATCTAATTTGGGCAACTTCTCAATTAAAGTTCCCTCTTCTGGGATGATTCTAGGTTGTGTCAAGATGTCAGTAAAGACTAATCAACACAGTGCTAGTCAACTTTCTGGTACTGAAACAAGATACTGGATTCAATCAACTGATGAATTTCAGCTCATATTTCCATGGGTCCTGTGCCCGTTTTCTTGGGCCCATGGTGAGGTAAGGCATCATGACTGAAGGAGGTGGCAAAGTTCACCTTACATTGGCTGGGGAGCAAAGAAAGGGAAGACCAGGAATGAGTCAGGGCCCTAATATCCCCTTTAGGACATACCTCCAATGAGTAAATACCCTTCCTTAGGCCCCGCCAACTAAAGGTATCACTGCAGAATGAAGGCCAAAGGGGTACTGCACGGATCTTTAAGGTTTATTGCATATTCTAAGCAACCATGGTAACCAGGCTCATGAAAGTGAGAAGCAGTCCACACAGAAGAAAAGTGAGCTCACTGATACAAGCAAGGCAAAGACTGAAGGCCTACTCCCTCCCTCAGCTGCTTTTTCCTCAACCCTGCTGGCCCTCTTTTATCCCAATAAAACATCTTCCTCATAAACACACATTAACCTGAGGTAAATCAAACCCCAACCAGGCAGAAGCAAACAGAGAACAGTACTTGTGGGTCTGGCCTTGATGAGACCTCACACACACAAAGTTTGACAGTACATGGCTTCTGG